AATAATAATAATAGTAATAATAATAATAATAATAATAATAATAAACTTTATTTATATCCTACCACCATCTCCCCAAAGGGACTCGGGGCAGCTCACAGAAAGCACTCAATAGTGCAGCAAAATACAAATACAACAAAATACAGAAAGGAAAAATTAATAAGAATAAAATTAAACCCATATTAATTTAAAAGATACTATAAAACTATGTACAATTCTTGCTGCTGTTATCATATAAAGAAAGATTATTTCTTGATGTTTCAATGTCTGTTTGTCTAATAATCCCAGTAAAAAGAGTTCTCGTTTTAATGGGATTTTGTACTTTAGTATAATTTTCATGTCTCTATGGATTTTATTCAGAATTCTTTAGCTTTTGGGCAAGTCCACCACAAATGATAGAAAGTTCCAGTCATGTGCTTACATTTCCAACACATGCTGGATATTTTATATATCTTTGAGAGTTTTTCTGGCATTGTGTGCAATTTATATATCATTTTGTAAACATTTTATTTGACGGTGTAAATTCTTGCAAATTTTAGTCATTTTTTCCAGAGTTCTTCCCATTTTTCTAGACTGATTGCATGACCTATATTTTTGCCCATTGATTCATGGGTTCTTTTATTTGTTTGATTGTAAAATCTTTCAGAAGAAATTGTTAGTTTCCCAATTTGCTTATTTTTTGTCTGTAGAATTGCTTCCACGGATTCTCCGATCCTTGTATACTAGACAAAGTTTCTGTTGAAGTTGATTATAATGAAACCATTTCATTAATGGGACTTCTTTTTGTAGCTCTTGTAGTGTTTTTAATTTCTGCAGTTACTTTTTTATTAGTTGTTTTTAGGTAGATATTTTGTCCTAGGTGTTCTTAGTTGTGGAAACGCCTGTGGTTTTGTCCATGCAGGTATTTTATTTTCTTTAATTCTTTTATATTTATTCCATACTTTCATCAATGATTTTTTTATTTGATGTTTCTTAAAGTTGGGAGTCAGATTTCATTTTATCATAAATCAGAGATGTATGCCCTCTGTATTTTGGATCAGTCCCTTCAATTGTAAGTAGTCTTACATTTTTTAAAGAAAAATCCACTCTTTTATCCATGTCCAAACCGCTGCATCATAGTGTGGTCTCATATTTTGCATCTTGTAAATTTTTCATTTTCATTTTGGGTTTTTAATTTTTCCAAATGAATTTTGTTAGTTCTTTTTTCCAAACTTTAAAGTGTGCTTCTTTTGACAAAATGGTATTGTTTGATATAAATATAAACTTTTTGGAATTACATTCATTTAGATTGTTGATATTCTTCCCAATAGAGACAGATCTAAATTATTCCACTGTTGTAGGCGTTTTTTTGGGGGTTTTTTTGTACCTCTTTCCATACTTTAAAAAAAATAATTCAGAGCTTCTGTCAGTCATCTGGATTCCCAAATATTTTACTTTAGTTATATTAATTTTTGTCTCTTGTTTTAAAGTCTTTTGAGTCTTCTTAATTATATTATGAGTTATTATCTTGGTTTTATCTCTATTAATTGATAGACCTGCCACGTTTCCAAATTCTGTTATTATTTCTAGTACTTTTGGGAATATTCTTTAAAGGATTTTCAGTCAATATAACTATATTGTCTACAGACACTCTTATTTTATATTAAAAAAATGTTGTTAAATCTTCCATATTGGTATTAGTCCTACACTTCTGTGGCTAAAATAAAAAGTAAAGATGAAAGTGGGCATTCTTGTCTAACTCCTTTCTGGATTTCTATTTTTTGTGTAAAGTCTTCATTTATTTGTATTTTTTGGGGTTTGTTCCAAATAGATTGCCTTTATTCCATTTCTAAAAAACCTACAACAACCCAGTGATTCCAGCCATGAAAGCCTTCGACAATACATTGGCAGAAAAAAATGCAAAAAGAAACTACCCATAGCCAAAAAAGAAAGAGAAGCCTCAGTAAACAACTGATGAAACTTTCAAAGACAGATGAGAAACAAAAGTGAAAGTAGCAAAAGCAACTGAAATAGGGACACAACCCTAAATCCAATTGTCCAGTGATTTGTGCACTACCAGGCATGTAGCCGGGGGGGGGGGGGGGCTTCAGTCCCCCCCCCCCGAAATTCTCATGGTGGTCCGCGAAAGGCCTTACTGGTACATTATTTAAACTGTTATGTTTATTCATATCATGATCTGATCACCATGCTCACTATATCCCATATGCATGGGGGTATTGGGGTAATGATACAAAAGGTTTGCTAGGGTAGACCCTCTTTCACTCAGACTCAGCCCCCCCCCCCCCCGAAACAAAATCCTGCCCCCCCCCCGAAACAAAATCCTGGCTACGGGCCTATGCACTACTATAATAATTCATACAGAGAAAAAAATGAAGACAACAATGAAATGAAGAATAAGATCTGAGAAATCAAAGTGAAATTTAATCCAAGATTGGGGATTTTCTACAGTAGCAGAAAAAACCTAACTTGGCCAAGTAGAAATAAAAGAATAATTGAAACAATGCATCGAAAAACTATGTAAAAGAGAGAAAAAGATGACAGATTCATTTAAGGAAGAATAATTTGAAGATATGTTGGAGAATTTAATGGTCAGAATCACTGAGTTGCTGTAAGTTTTTTGGGCTGTATGGCCATGTTCCAGAAGCATTCTCTCCTGATGTTTCACCTATGGCAGGCACCCTAAAGATTGTGAGGTCTGGTCTTCACAACCAGGTTACCAGTATTAAAAAAACACCAGAATCAAGACATTAAAGAAGGAATACCACTCAGAAACAGGAGAACTCCAGAAAGCAATCAATCAAGAGCAAGTTAACACCAAACAGAAGATGTCTCTAGGCAACAGAGGATAGCCCATCTTTATATAGATACCTTCACTGATTGACTTTGCAACTTTATAGCTACTTAATGCTATTCAAGCTTGCTAACTGCAACGTTTACACATGCATTAAACAGATAAGGGTTATTTCTCCCACCCTGAACATTCCACAAATATATATACACTCCACTTGCTTAAGTGCCAACAAAGCCTCTGAAGATGCCAGCTACAGATGCAGGCGAAATGACAGAAGAGGTTTGGGGTTTTGTTTTTTTTTTTTGGGTCAGGAGCAACTTGAGAAACTGCAAGTCGGCCAATTTTCTCACACCAGAAGCTACTGGAACATGGCCATACAGCCCGAAAAAACTCACAGGAAACCGTCCAAAATATTATTACAACTGTACTGATGAGCTTCAATAAATCCCTACATGCTGCTGTAAATATAGGTAGTATGAATGGATTGCCATAAAACTAACAAAGGAGTATATACCCATGAACAGCCAGGAATGTATCTGTTTGGGAGAAATTAAGTGGATAAAGCAATTATAGCACTACAAGTGAACCACTGAAATTTCAATCAAATTCGGGTGGGATGGGGTGGGGAAACAACAAAGAAAGAATGGAATTTTACTTAGAAGTCTTTTCTTGATTGTAGTACCTCCTTCGGGCACTCCATAAAAAAATTAATAAAAAGATTACATTTGGCACCAGCTCTGGAATCATCCCTAGATTCTAGCACCATCTACAGGAACTAACAATCCATAACAATGTACCAGAATCTTAAATATAGGAGACATCCACGAGAACAATAACCATATTATATACAGTGCTCATGGTCCAGTAAATTTGAAATCCTAGTTAGACATTTACTATAATAAAATATCTTTAGATATGTATGCTGAATATGGACTTAAAACAAGATGGGCAACAGTAATAGAAGAAGCCAATTTTTAGGCTAGTCAAACACGTGGTTTAAACTTTTTAGCTTATTGTTTGCTTGCTTTTGTAGCTTTTATTTAAAAAAATGTTTGGGGTGGATCTAACAACAGAAGAAATGTTTGCTTTCAACTTTTAAAACTTTTGTTAGACTTCTGATGATGAGCAAATCAAGTACCCTTAAATGCCTTGCCACAAAGTTATTTCTATTCCATCAATTAATTGACTTCAGTATTTCTTACCATCCTTAAACCTACTCATTTTTATAATGTAATTTACCTAAATTAAAAGCAGTAAAATAACAAAACAATAGAAAACCCATCTTTATTGTAAAAATAAATTAAAAATTAAAACTATGATACTAACCAATCCTTTAACTAGTGAATTGAGGGATTCTAGGCCAGTGTCAACCTTCACTGCTGCTTAATCTGGCTCCTCAATAGAAGCTTATCTTACATGAGACAGCCTACTTGCAGTTGTACTACAATCCGCATTGCCTCTTCTCCCACAAGAATACACCATTCTATAACTGCTGTGCCATCGTGAACCGCAACAATATATTATGTATTTGGTACCAAGAAACAGTAACTATTTCAGATTTGCACTGACAGCATTTCAAATTCTATAAACCATCTAGCACAGACTTCTGAAAAACCAATTCAGGTACATGAGATCAGCCCACAAAGTAACAGTATTCCTCTACTGTTTAAAGAACAGCACTTGTTCTCATCTACAGTGGCAGTATTTCAAGATAAAAAAAGGCTCATGATTTCAATTTTTTAAACTTAAGCCATTATCCAGAAGAATGGAATGTAATACTTGCAGAGATAATATTGGGAATTTAGTATTACCAGAAAGATAACATTTACAGTTTGGACAACTCCTCCACTTTAAACATGGCAAAGCCTTACCTCTGAAAGAGTGGCAGAACTCCTCCTGTTACACACTCTTTCCACACTACTCAAGATTACGGCTGCGGTCTGGCACAAGTCTACTTGAAAGTCTCAATGAAACTTATTTGTTTTTTCCATCTTTATTAGTAAGGCTATAGAGCAAGAGGAAACAGGCTGCCCATCATTACATTACGATCAAAATGAAACTTAGTTAATCTTTTAAAATTTAAGGCAGGGATTAGAAATAATGTATTGTTTCTCAGCTTTCTTTAGACATAAATTAGAGCATATGACAAAATTGCATCCCTGATGCCCTCTTCAACAGCCACATATTATCCATATTTACAGTATTTTCTTACCTGAGGTAGAGCAGAGTTCAGTTGCCTCTGTAACTGGTCTCGCTCATGCAAGGTCTCCTGTAGCCGGCCCTGAGTCACAGACAGAGTCTCACGTGTTTCCCGAAGCGTCTCTAGGAGCTTATCTCTCTCATCAAGCATGTTCACCATCAGCTGTTCAAAGTTGGCATCAGAATCAGAGCCAGGCTGTGACCCCAAGGGGTCACTCTCACTGATGGTAGGCATTACCTCACACATCATGGCAACACTTGGGAAATGCCCTGTGATACAGAAAGCTCAGAATTTGGCAGGAATGTCCTTTTCAAAATGCGTCTTAAAGCTATTGAAGCAGCAAGCTACAGTCACATGGTTATTGCAACCCATCGTAGCATATAGCAGCTGACATATGCACACCACACGGTAAGGTCCGTAAACCTTCCATTTCCCTATGCAAACAAATAAATGAAGCTTACATCACCCTTTACAAAATTTGATAAATCATCACAGCATTATTAATGTTGAACATATGAAGAAATTAAGGCCAGCAAGGTCCCCAGACTGAACTGACAGTATGGTTCTGTGAGAGTCATTCCAAGAACGGTATCTTTCAAATCTCTTCAGTGATTGTCACCAGCCATGGCATGGGATCTATGTTGTTCAGAAAAATAAACTGCTTTCTTTCAGCATGAGCTTCAGTGCTGTCTTGAGAGATTCAAAGATGTTAGAAAAGCTATGAAACATTTCCCTTTTCCCGAGAGCATTAATAAAAGATCATCTTGGATGGTTCAACCAACAGCTTCTGAAGTCTCAAGTGGCACCGGGCAAATTGGATATTTTCCATAGAAAGTTACATGTTTGCCAAAGGCTCTTCATCTTTCATTCTTTGTGTAGGACCTGTAGGGAAATAATGGCAGAAATTACATTAGAATTTGCCTACTCCTTCACAACTCTTTCCTCCCAAAATTTAAATCAATACATAAGACTTCTTTGGTTTTAACTATTTCTGTTTACTATTCTGAATTACTGAGCTTCCTTCACATTTGGATAATAGCTGCAATCTTTAAAAATGCAATGGTACTCCTTGGTGACAAAAATAAATAATAAATAATATATCAGTACTATATAAGATGAATAAAAATACAAGCTTCCCAAAATTGACTGAAACAAATTCAAAACCAAAGAAATAAGATGAAACAAACATAATGCCACTGTGAATATATTAATCTGATAGAAAAATCGAGGATTTAAAAAAAAAACAGATTTTAAAAAAACATGTCCTCTCTCTAGATTCCTCCACCGCAGCTGGAATCAGCAAAGATGAACTGGGAAAGGCAGGCAAAAGATGGGAAACCAGCCATTTCTCTAAGCACACCAGAGGAAATCAGCAGAAGTGATGGGCAAAGAAACATTAGTGGTGAAAAGGAAGATTAAGGGAAAAATCATAAGTTAGTGAATGTGTGGTTCATAGATCTGGCTTTTTGTTTGTTAGTTTAGTATACGTGTACGTTTATACATGTGCATTTTGTTTTTCTGTTTATGTTCTGTTATTTTAATACATACTGAGTTGTAATTCCATAGTAGTAGATAGAATGTAATTGTATAGTTTTTAGTATTATATATCCTAAAGATTTGTTTGTTTGCTTTATCATTGCTGTTCTATTATGTTTTTTCTTTCTTGAAAAAATTTAAAAAGAACAGAAGCAGTGCCATAGCACACAGAGGTATCACACTGATCTGTGTATACTTTGACACAGGTTTATTGGTGTCATTTTATATGGATTTTTTAGTTATATCTGAGTATTTACAGTAATTAATTAAAATATTTCTGATGACATTTTTTATTTTTCCTGGTTATCAAAAACAACTAGGGTTATAAAGATGCTAGACCAGACTTTGCAGGTTCTCAGACTTGGTATGAAATCCAATAAACTGACATGAAATATGGGTAAAACAGGATCTGTGAATTTCTGGTCCACACTCTCGCAACTGTGCAAGCAACTTCCTCTGCATAGAGTTGCATTCACTCAGAACAAAAAGGTGAGTATCTTGGAATTACTCCTAGACTCATCTCTGTCACTGGAGGCCCAAGTAAACACTGTGGCTCCGAGTGCCTGGGGCCACCTTCAATTAGTATACTGACTGCAGCCTTTTCAGAACAAAGAAAACCTAGCAACTAGTAGCAATCTGATTAGACTACTGCAATGTTCTCCATACAATCTAATCATCCTTAGCTAGCCACTTTAGGTACTATATTGTGTTATAGGTGTCCAATTGAATGCTTAACACCAAATAAATCAGTCACCAACTGAGTATTCAATTGTCTGTTAAAGACTTCGTGTTCCATACTTCTCCCCAAACACACGCTTCCATAAGCTGCAAGGAGGATGTAGCCATAAAACTGAGGGAAACTACACTCAAGAGAAAATGTATCATACCGTAAGAATAATTCAGACTGAAAGATCTCTTCCTCGTGCAAGAAGATATATGCCAAGCATTTCTGCTAAAATACATTCAATTGCACCTTGTCTGAAATGAGGATACTAATACAGGAAAAATAGTCAGGAAGGAATTTTTTTGTGTGTGTCAGGAGCAATTTGAGAAATTGCAAGTTGCTTCTGGTGTGAGAGAATTGGCTATCTCCAAAGACGCTGCTCAGGGGACGCCTGGATGTTTTGATGTTTTACTATCCTTTTGGGAGGTTTCTCTCATGTCTCCGCATGGGAAGCTGGAGCTGAAAGAGAGAGCTCAACCCACTCTTCCCAGATTCGGACCGCTGACATATTGGTCAGCAGTCCTGCCAACACAAGCGTTTAACCCACTGTGCCACCGAAGGCTCCTAGGCAGTAATTAATATGCAAATATAGTTTCAATAGCCTAGAAGTGCTGAGGACGCTAGACCTGCAAGAATACCTCATAAAAAACTCCTGTTCCTCTGGTCAGCCACAAAATATATTTGATACAGCATCACTACTTCAGCATTCATGTGATTTGTTCCCAAYATCAACATACTACAATGAAAATCATTTCCACTGTAGTACAAAAATATTAGCGGGGGGGGGGGGGGAGAGCAATACATCATAGCAAGCAAAGAATATAGAACAGTAGCATTCCAATTGCTACCTGCAGTCATTTGCAGTAAGATGCTGCTATGTGCTTTCAAGTGATTTCTGATGTATAGCAAACCTGAAGTGAAGCTATCATAGGGCTTTCTTTTCAATATTAATTCAGCGAGGATTTGCCTTTGCCTCTGAGGTTGAGAGTATGTGACTTGTCCAAGGTCAGCCAGTGGGTTTCCATGGCTGAGCAGGGATTCAAACCCTGGTTTCCATAGTCATAGTCCAACATGCAAGCCACTACACCATGCTGAATCTAGCAGTTGCAGTGTGGAATAATATAAATATGAAAACCAACATAAATTACTGTAAAATACAGATGAATTACAGATGGATGTCTAAATATAGTTTCTCTACAACGGGTTTACATGTGTTATTGGATTTCAGTTCCCCAAAATCTCAGCCAGTATTTGATTTCAGATTTTGGGATCTAAAAACAATATTACCTGAAGCCTACCTCCTAGTTTGAAAGTCTTTACTCTGGAGTTTCAACAGAAGACTGCATGTTTGCAACACAAGACTTCTAGCAAGCCGTCCACCATCTACATACATGTTTTAAAAGAGGAAGGAGTTTGTCCTCAATGTTCGTAATCATCTTGAAGACTAGATCAAGCTATGGTGAGAGAGGAAGCAGGTTTCATAACTGTAGAGTAGACTACAAGCAACTTCCTCTGAGTCTTGCTAAGAAAATTCTATGATAGGTTTGCTGTAAGTTAGAGTCAACTTGAAAACACATAACAGTAACAGTAGCAGCAACAAAAACAACAACAAGCATAGAACAGTTAGATTAGTTGTAAATCAGGTGAGTAAAATGTACTCTATTTTGTTAGAGATGTGTGTCACAGAAGACACATGCACCATATTCAGTTGGACCACCACAATGGCCAAATTGCACTGGCTAATTTAATGCACCCTATTTCACCAAAGAAAAAGAAACAAGTGTTCCTGTTACACCAAGGTATCAGAAAAGGCAGGTCACTGCTTGGAGAATTTATCTTGTTTAGGGAAAATGATGTCTTTGACCATTTTTATTATCATTAGCTGAAAAAGAATTCCTTACAACTACCAGATATATGCACATGACTAATTTTGTCTATTACTTTGATTATACTTCATTTGTGACTTACTTACTATAGATTTCAGTAGCATGTCTACAAAGTGTGTACATTGCCCTCTCTTGTCATCCCTATGCATGAACCTAAGATGACATGGTGTGTAACCTGTGTTGCAATTTGGTACAAGTATAAAATGTTACACACTAGACTGCAGGCAACATCTGGGACCAAGGAGGTGACAGTTTTTGCTAAGAATGTTTTCTTATTTCCTTGGATTAAGTGGGTCAAACATGAGCAGATTTCTAGATATTTCTCTTAGATACTTTACATGTATTTCAAATTTGAACTATACATCTTGTATCCAGAATGAAAAAGAAATTAAAAAGCTGACCTTGCATGTATCCATAGACAGAATGTGTAAACATGACTGCAACCAACCAAGAATTCAAATCTCAAGACTTGCAGGCCTGTCATGGAATAACAAGAGAGCTAGCCTGCATTTTTTCTGTTACTGAGGCCACAGCAGGATATTCAATTCATGTAAAACTACAACATCAAATAACAACATCTGAGAATTTATGTTAAGAGCTTCAAAGATTCTGCTGGATATCACATACCCATCAAGGATACGTTTTTTCTTGACAGAGGCCTTAAAATATCTCTTTTATATATTCTGAAAACTTGACTTATTTATTATTATCTTTATTTACACCCCACCTTTCTCCCCATGGGGATTCACCCACTTGTCTTCACCCACTCAGCCAATCTCCCTCAGGTCATTTTAATGAGCCAAAAAGGGCAAGGGGTCAGCATATAAAGTAGCAGCTTTCCTTTCTCCAAGGATCCAGAAAAACACTAAAAACATAGATGTGGAAGCAGGCCTTTGACAATAGTTGACTATAATTTAATTGATGGAGGCTTTTAAATGCATTCCAATACCAACTGGATTTTTAATTGGTTATTAACAGTAGCTGAGTTTTTTTGCTTCTTACGTATAATATATTTTATTCCAACACAAAATGTTATACTTTGTGATGTTTTGATGTTATAATAGAATACTTTTATAGCTGCTTTTGATTTTGTATTACGATTTGTTGATCTGTGTTGTTTTGTTTGTTATTATTACTATGTATGTTGTATTTTTGCTGTAAGCTGCCCCAAGTCTCTTTTGGAAGAGGGAGTGGGATACAAATAAAGTTTATTATTATTATACTGTCCACATCCTAAATTGTACAAACTGAAAATAATCCATATGGAAATCAGGAGCCAAGTTACACCCATTGGCACTGTATCAACTACATATTATTCAATTTATTTTATTTAATAACAGCTTTTAAATGTTCATTAAAAAGGTTAAAAGAAATAAAAAGTATGATAAATTGAAGATGGCAATTCTTCTTTCCTGATGCTCTTTTAAGCACAAATCCTTCCCCATACTGTTTTCTGCTGTCCTGAACTAGGACTCAGAGCAATGTGTTCAAATTACAGGAAAGGAGATTCCATCTGAACATTAGGAAGAACTTCTTGACCATGAAAGCTGTTCAACAGTGAAATTCTTTGCCCAGAGTGTGGTGGAAGCTCCTTCCTTGGAGGTTTTTAAATAGAGGCTGAATGGCCATTTGTTGGGGGTACTTTGATTGTGCTTTTCCTGAATAGCAGAGAGTTGGACTAGATTGCCCATGTGGTCAATTCCAATTCTATTACTCAATTATTCTATTTTATCAGT